ATGTAATCTGCCAGCATTTATTAAGCATCTGCTAAATGCAGAGTACAGGATTTCTACTGTAACACAAGACACATGTTCCTGAAAAACGATGCATTTTTCAAAAATGTCCATTAAAAACAACAGCTTATTTACTTTATTAGCTGTATTAATGTTGAATAACTATGTTGTACACCAAAACTAATATAATATTGTATATTAACGATATTTTAATTAAAAAAAGAAAAACAGAGTTTACAGTAAAAATAACTATAATAATGAACCTCTCAAAACATATGTATCTTTGTACCAAAATATTAACAAAAACAATAATTGAGGCCTCCAGAGATCATCTGGACAATCAGGCAGACAGGCAACTCAACATGTGATGGAGGAGCTCTGATCACAGGAGGAAGTGCAACCTGCTGGGGCCCAGAGTCATGCAAGACTGGGAGTATGCTTCCCCCGGAGGCACCTGGGGCTTCTCTAAAAATAGACCTGCACCGAATGAGAACTTTCTTTCATGCTAAAGGGTAAAATTTTACTTCTGCTGTTCCAGACCCCCATGCCAAGAAACCAGAACAACTCCATGTTACACTGAGCTCTTTCTCCTATTAACTGATCACAAATGAACTCATTAGTGTCCCAGAAACATCAATTGTAATCTAACAGACCATATTGGACTTAAAACTTTGGTAGGTTGTGAAACCTGGTTTTAGTGAGAAAGTTTCAATATACAGTAGTCTCCCTTTTTCTGGGGGGAATATGTTCCAAGACCCCCTATCTATGCCTGAAACCTACATATACTATATTTTTTTCCTACACATACATAACCATGATAAAAGTTTAATTTATAAATTAGGCACAATAACTGATAATAAAATAAAACAATTATAACAGTCTGTAATAATAAAAGCTTAATATATTAATTAGACTGGATGTCCTGGACGAAGCTGGGGCTGCGAGGGAAGTCCCGGTCCTGGGTGCCTGCCAGGGGCCGGAGGGAAGCTGGTGCCAGCAGCCAGGGAAAGGAAGGCCTACTCTTGCACAAATTTTGTGCATTTGCCTCGTCTATATATAAAAGGCTAAGTGTCCATCCTTCCCTCCAACCAGTAGCAATGATGCTCAATGACCACCAGGAGACAGACGTTCAATGCAGGAGCTGCCATGACACACACTGGCCATTTAAAAATAAACAGCACCACAGACCTGGCCCTGACTAACCAACACTTGGCTTCCCCCAAGTGGGACACAGGCCCCGCCACCACCCCAGAGCAACACCCCACCAAATTGCAGCCAACACTGCCAAAACCCCATGGCACAAAATGTGGCGCCCAGCCCAACCTGGAAGTAGTCACTGTGTGTGCCAGGTAATGATGTCATGTAGCAACATCCGGCTTCCTCTCCCTAGCAACTAGCCTCCTTGCAGTTTCTTCAGCTCAGGAACCTGACTTGCTTTATAGCCAGGTGCAAACATTTTACAGTTCAACCAAATGTTTGTGAAACATATTCCCATGCCTCATTTCATTTGATCCTCATAGAAGTCCTGAAGTAGGTAGATAGGAGACTGTAGAATCCTATTTTGTTTTCATTAGCAAGACAACAGAGATTTAGAAAGTTTAGAAACTTGACCGACTGAAACAAAGTAAGAAATGGTGGAACTTGAAAATGACTTCAGTTTTTCTCACTGTATGGAATATAAACATGCGTGTGTTTTGATCTGTCATTGTCGATCATGAATTTGGTTGATACTTCTATTATAGAGGGCGGATAGCAATATTAAAATATTTCTTCTAATTACTTTCCTTTCAATGTGCACAAATCTGTGCACCAGGACTCTAGTATAGTATAATAAGTTATAGGAATATGGCATTAAGTAAAATAAGGGTTACCCAAACACAAGCACTGTGATGTCACAATGGTCAACCTGATAACCAAGAGGGCTACTAATTAATGGGCAAGTGGTATATACAGCTGGACAAATGGATGACTGCTGTCCCCAGCTGGTTGGATTTGACAGCTCAAGATTTCATCATGCCACTCAGAACTCCACACAATTTAAAATGTATGAATTGTTTATTTCTAGAATTTTACACTTAATATTTCAGACCACCAGTAACTAAAATGACATAAAGCAAAACCACAGATAGGAGGAGACTACTGTATCCAAGTAATCTATACTAATGAAAGGGTAATATGCTAATTAGACCAGACATCTTCCGGACGTCCTTCTGGACAAAGCCATGGTGGCGGGGGCTGAGGCAGAAGTGGTTAGGGGCAATAAGGCCAGCAGAGGAGGTCAGTTAGGAGGTGATCAGGCCAGCATAGGGATGATCAGGCCAACAAGGGGGAACAGTTAGGAGATGATCAGGCCAGCAGAGGAGGGCAGTTAGGGGGCAATCAGGCTGGCAGGCAGAGGCGGTTAGGGGTGAGCAGGCCAGCAGGAGAGTAGTTAGGGGCATGAGGCCAGCAGGCAGAGGTGGTTAGGGGTAATCAGGCAGGCAGGTGAGCAATTAGGAGCCAGCAGTCCTGGACTGTGAGAGGGATGTCCCAGACAGATTCAAGAGGATGCAGGCCGGGCTGAGGGACACCCCCACGCCCCCCCCCCCCCCCCACTCTGAAATTCATGCACCGGACCTATAGTATCATCCTATATAAGAAACTTGTAGATAATTTGGTGAGGAGGCCCAGGGCCTTCCTTACTCCAGATTCTCTATTCCTTATGATTTCTTACCCTATTGACTATCTTTACAAGTTCTCTTTATGTGGGCACCTTAAGCCAAAAGAAGCTTTTAATGGCTACCTGTATTCAAAATTTAAAAAAAAATCCGATGAAAATCATACCACTCTCTCTAAAGTTTCACCACTGACTTCTTTGTCTTTGTCAGAATATCATCATCACATGTTGATCAGGCATTCTCATTTGGCACTTACATATTGTTGATAAGTATAAGTAGAAAGCTGAATTATTATTTAATAAATTCACTTTAAAAAATATTTTCTAGCTCCCAACACATGGCTCAGTTGGTTGGAGCATCATCCCGTACACAGAAAAAATAAATAAATCAATAAATAAAATAAAAGGTTGCAGGTTCAATCCCCAGTCAGGGCACATATGGGAGGCAACCGATCAATGTTTCTATCTCATATCACTGTTTCTCTGTCTCCCTCCCTCCTCTCTCTTACTCTCTCTCTTTCTGTTTCCCTCCCTGCCTCCCTCCCTCCCTCTTTCTTTAAAATCAAGAAACATATCCTTGGGTGAGGATTAAAAAAACCTGTTGTAAATATGAAGTACATGAGGGAAAAATATAAGAAGTGAAACCACTGGAATGTTGCATGATAGGAATTTAACCTGCCCGTTAGTTTTCAATAGTTTTCTCTCCTCACTGGGATCCTCCCACTCCCAAATAATCAGTAAACTTCATATAAAAACTTCCTGTGCAGGTCCTCATAAATTTTGACTAAATCCCTGAAAGAGGAAGAAATTCATGAGAGAGAATTATATCACTTTATAACAAGAGAAAACCACCTTATTTGAAGGAGCTAGTAAGATGTAAAAAGCAAGCGAATAAATAAATCTTTTCACTAGTCTTCTTTTATGTGTGCATAATTTGAAATAAAATTTTTTTAAGAGTTTTTATGTAATTTCTCTTATTCCTATAGCTCTCATTTCTACTTTAGCTGCACTAACAATTTGAATCTAAAAATAGGGGAGTGAAACATTGACCGTCCTCACGTAACAATACCCAACTAGCATGAAATGATACC